TGATCTTAATAGCAACCTGTAGTATTCATAAAAAGCAACTAAATATGCACTGATGTATCTGTGCTGACACACTCTGATGTCTCATCTGGCCTGACCCTGCTCTCGGAGAAGCCAAGAACACACTATTATTGTTTTTTCCAAGGACTACTGCTAGACTGAAAAAATGCTATCCAGGAAAATTTTGAAGATTTAAAAATGCTAAATTAAAAAAAATATATTGATCTATCACTTTGGGGAAACAGTGATAAATTTCAAAGGATTAGGGAAACTGAGGCTTCACCAAAACAGAACTATTCTGTGAAGAGTGATGAGTTGGAGGTAGTCTCTTGTTGAGGATGGGCTCTGTGTCTCCTCCAGCACAGTGGAAAGGCCAAGCTATTCCTCTTCCTATTCCCCTTCCTCCTCTTCTTGGTTTTGTGGTGCTCAGCAATTTTACCCAGTTTATTCCAACAAAAGTTTATTTTAAAATAGGACTTCCCCATGGAATTTTTTTTACCATTGAGAAGTCATCATTTTTCCAGCAAGATTTTGTCAGAAAAGTCCTATTCAAACCGGATAATCAAGGCTTTCTTGGCAATGAACCCTCTCGTTCTGGCTGATGAGGTGGTGAGCTGAACTCTCAGTTTTGCTGGTAAACTCTGCTTACTAAATCGTGGTGGACACAACTGCAGGCAGCTACGTCCCAGCATGTCTGATTCTCCTGAAAGGGTCTCTCAGTTTTTAATGTTTGTTGCTAAGAAGAAATGAAAGATGAAGAGCAAGATAAATTCTCTAAAATACAGTTTTGGGCTACTAGTTCACACAATTGTCCTTGCCCATGTAACACCAATGTTGGCTAATAGTGGAACATGATGTTCAGATCAGCTCCTACTGTTTCAGAGGGATGAGAAAATAAAACCCACAGAAGAAAAAAAATCTTCTATTTTGGTATACTTAACACATACTGTTATCTACGTGTCCTATATATCATTTAACAAATTGCTTTGCAATTCTTACAGGGCGTGGTATAATGACTGATTTAAAATCACTGCATTGCTTAAACTGCATTGTTCTTCATCAAGTTGAGTCATTTTTATGTGAAGTGTCAAGCTCTCTAACAAATAACTGCTGCCAGACAAATCAAGTTCCTCATCTTAAAGCTACGGCTAAATAGTTTATAGCTTTAATCTGCTCACTGAGGTGTGCAGTCTATGACAGTAATTATAAATGCAAGGAGAAATTATAGCTGAATGCTTTAACTGCATTAGGAGCCATTTGATGAACAATCATGATTGCCTGCTCATTTTCAACAATAGAGGGCAAGTTAGTGTCAGTGCATTAGAGGATTTTCAGTTCTGCTCTGCTCTTTCTTCCATTTACCACAGAATGTCAGTTGTCTCCTATAAAGTAGAAAAAAAGCACTGTAGAAGCTTTAAACTTGATGGTTAAAAAAAGACAAAGAAGGAAACGGAGAGAAAAACTGTTTATTATTATGACTCATTTTTTTGTTTTGCAGCAGCCTTACTTTCGAATTAGTTCATCTCAGGTAGCTGCCTGTTTACTTATCAGGGTCTTTTGAAAAAGATATCTCCCCAATCAGGTTGGTAAATTTGCCTCTATAGAGACAGATTTCTATAAAAAGTTGTAGATAAGACCACAGAGAGCCGCGGTTACTGATTTATAGGTTTATAGCCAACCTCACCACCTGACTTTAGAGTGAGAAATACAATTCTGCTGTGTTTTTTTTCCTCAGGAAAACATAAAAATTTTAATTTAGTTGAAAAAATGAACAAATGTTCTTCAAAGGTAGAAGTCAATATACAAATTACTTCTAATTAAAGCCATGTTCCCTAATGTTCATGGGATTTCTTCAAGAATAGTAATAAAACCAAATTCGAAGCAGGTTGAATGAAAGAGAATAGAGACGTCAGACTGTTGTATATTACACATAATTTTACATTATATTACTAAGCCCATATCAGTTAGAAGAATTCAAGAAAACACCAAAGATGAATATGAAACAGATATGTACGTCTTTACATTTAAGATGAATTTATAGCAAATTTCTTAGAAAAAGCCTCACAGAGGTCTTAAAAGTAAATCCATATACATAACACATTTTTCTACAGTACTAACCCAGATTATTAATTTATATTTTTAATGATAGTTAACATTTTAAAATATAACCTTCAATAGTAAATTTCATTTAAATATAGAATGTATTTTATGTATTTCTGTACTTTGCGTAGTCTTTCCACTTTTATTTCCATATATTTCCATATATTTTATCTATTTTTATTTCTATTTCACTACAATATTGCTGCGAAGAAGTAAATGCAGATGCATGTGCCCGTTTTAAGACTCTCAGTATGCTCTGTATTTCTTGTTTCTAAATACTGTGCTCTCCTCTATGTTATTATTCAAAAGTATACTGAATCTTAAAAATAATATGGTAAGAATAAGTAAACTCTGAAAATTCCTGTTATTTGATTCAGTCTCCCTGTAGATCTCAGGAAGAAACCATATGAATAAACTCTAGCCACCACACTTCTAACATAGTCAGAACTTTGGTAGGCTTACAGCTCCAAAACTGTAATAAAATCTTTACAATGCTATCCAAAATACCCCATCATTTCATACAATTTGTGCTATCATGCATACCAACTAAAATTATAGTTCCAGATAACAGTGCTATCACTCTGTCATTGAAATTTAAATATATTTTTTCCAAGGTAAGATACAACCTGCATCTTGATATAAATTAGAAATGGATGAGTATTAAGAGGACAGCAATTTCTCGGTACCCAAAGGCAGGAAGGACAGTACCTTATTTATGTAGTTACATATCACCTGAATAATACCTGCGATCTGTCTGTGTAGGTTATTACAATGCAGAAACCACATTTTTTCCCTTGGAGATTTTTTTTTCTTTATATTTGTTCCCCAAATCCTCAGTAATAGTAACATTTTTATAAAGGTGGGTGTTTGGTTTGCCTCTTAGTAATAACATGGTGCTTCTAAGACCAAATCTGAAACATTTGTCATGTACTAAGCCATGAATGTGCCAAAATAACTGTTATATTAATATATTTGGCAGATAGCTTTTGTTTGATAGTACCCAAATTATTGGTTTGCTCTGATATCTCTTGTGAGGAAACTATGAATGTCAGAGTCTTAATAATCATTAACTGGTGGGGAAGGAAACAAAGTATGGTCTATTTTTCCTAACCAATCTCTCGTAGTTTTCTGATATTTTTTTCAAGTACACTGATTTTGAATGGTCAAATAAACAAGGAACATTTATTTGTTGAGTTCTAATGTTGGGTTAGAAATGCCAAAATGGAAACTTAAGGGTATTAGCTCTATTTAGGAAACAAACCCCTTTTGGGTTAGCCAGAATTTTGCTGGCTAAAATACGCAGAAAGGATAAATCCAGTCAAATGCAGATGGCACGTACAAGACGTATGCAAAACTTAAATCTTATTGCACTTGAATACTGACGTTATACTCTATAGTAATAGCTTCTATTACCCATCCCAAAGTAACCCTTTGATTAGTGGTTTAAATTATTCAAAAGTAGCCTTTTTAATGGAGCTTAAGTGATGCGTAGTCCTTGTGCTGGCTCTGTACACAGAAAGTGTTTCTTAAAGCTTCATGAATATTTGCAGCAAACAAATGTGAAATCTTCACACAACCGGGTATTCATCCTCAAAGTGCTTGCACCCTCAATTAGCCAGAGAATAGCCACAATAGCAGGTGGCGTAAGTGACAACTCACAACACATCTTTAATTTTGACTGCTGGACGAATTCATTTGCTGAATGTTATTCAAGTAACAAACACATTGGAGAAAATCTGAATCTGCTCATGATTATTCTGTGAACAGAAGCAGAGCTGAGTCTGCTGGAGAAATTGTTGGGAATGACTAACAGAGCCTTGCTGGAAATAAACTCGTTAGAACAAAAAACTTCTATTTGGACTTTTAGTTGATGTTCTGCATATTTATTTAAATCAAGAATATTCAAGTTTGTGAATCAAGTAAAATTAAAAATGCAAAAATTGTGTGTAATCTGAATATTACATTGCATGTTATAAACATTGTGGCAGTACTTCGGTTGGTGTACCTTTCAGCAAAAAATAGCAATGCTAACGTAGAAGTAGTCTACTAACAGGTCTTTGAAATATTAAGCTTGTAAAAACTCTAGCTGCTTCCTCAATTAAGCATTAACCCCCCCAGGATATACGAAAACTTGCACTGAAGCCAGTGATGTTTATGGATTGACTAGCACTCCCACCAACATGAAACAAAATATAATCAAACATCTCAAAGGTTCAAAAAAGAATGATGGAGAGAGAGGTTAAAATGATGCGACAAAAAAGGCCACTCACAATAGTGTAAGTAAGTGTAAATTATTAAAATATTTTACAAAACTGCATATCCAAATATCAACAAAAGAAGAACTGAACTTCTAGACATAAACTTTTCAGAGTTATTTGTAGATTCTTGAGGCCAGGTTTGGGATTATGAGAAACTTGTAATAATTAAGATTTTGCTAATTTGACATTTGAATTGTCTTCTTTTGCCCCATCAAAACCAGATTTACTGGTGTGTTAGCACTGAAGGAAGCAATAATCTTTTGGCTTTCAGTGCTTTTTTTCTGCTTTTTCCGTTCTCATTGCAAAGAGTAGCATTTAGTTGTTGCATTCCACATTGAAGTGCATAGGACGTGAAACAATTAATTCTTAGAAACAAAAAAAAAGAGAGTGAGAACTGAGAAAACAGCTATCTTGAACATATTAAGAAGCAAATTTTCTATATAGGGCAATGTGGTTATGCATTTCCCAAGCTTGCCCCTTGAAAACATTATAAAATGGATATGTACATGCAATCAGATTAACGAAGCAGGAGTACGTTACGCATTTTGTACTGTTTTCCTACATTTAAGAAAGTACGAATGTCTTATGAAGCCTCCTGAAAACGATGAAATTAAAACTCGCTATAGAGCATGCATACCTTAAGAGTTATTCTTCATCCACTTCTGCTACAAATTGTGAATGGTGTTCTGGTGACTTGCTGTGTGTTTTGCTTAGATGAAGTTTTACTGCATGTTTGCTCGCAAATGTCCGACAGCATAACTTACATTTGAACTTAGAGTCTGTGTCCTCTTCTCCAGCTATTGTTTCAGGAGATCTTTGAACTGAAACTCTGGAGATTTCTTGCTCTACCTTGGTTTGCTGCTCCACAGCCAGCCTGTTCATGTCTTTCATTTGGAAACCTAGATGAGATTCTAAGTGGCTAATGTAAGTAGATGGGGTTCGAAACTGAGATGCACAGTCGCTGCAATAAAAGACTGGATGTCCTTTGTCCATGTTTTTCAAAAACTTTGTTCCTCCGGTTTTCCTAAGTTGATACTTGACATTTGCCAACCAATGGCTAATGGTGGTCATTGACAGTCCAGTAAATTTTGAAATTTGCATGCGCTCTTGTGGGCCTAGATCTGATAATAAATATTTACCTTCAGATGTCTGGAAGAGGCTGGAAGCAAACTGAGCTTGCAAAATGAGAAGATGCTGAGGGTTCCAGTTTGACTGTCTGCCCTTCCTCTTATGCAGAGTGGAGACTTCTGTTGAGACATCCTCAAAGCGTCGGACATCTATTTCCAATTTCATAGACGAGATCCTCGAAGATGCAGCAGGTTTTGGTGTAGTAGCTTTGGGAAGAACTTTGACCATGTCAGCAATGTCAGACAGAGCATGTTTTTGAGGTGGAGAAGTACAAGATTGTGCTTGAGCTGACTCAGCTTTCTTGCCTTTGGATTTGGTCAGGTCAATAGGCTGATCATTGTTTTCAAACAAATAGTGCCTGGATACGCTTGCAGGCTTTGGTGGGGTTGGAGCAGGAGATAAAACTGGCTTCTCCATCATATTTAGATTAGATTTGTGGAACATAGAAATTGTGCTAGAGCTGGGGCTGGAGTTGGATTGAGGCCGTAGAGGCTCAGTGGCTTTGCCCAAGTGATTATTCAGTACTGACTGCAGCGCGCTGAGAGGGTTGACACAAGGCAGTTCAGATGAATGGTTGGCAGCAGCACAACCATTACTAAGAGAAGCTGCTGCTGGTTCCTTGAGGACTGGTTTTTCTTTTCCGCTGTCCTCTTTAATTTTGTCTTCTTCTTTCAAGGGACATGGTTCTGTCTTTTTTGGCTCCACAGAGGCTTCAGATTTGAGGAGAGGTTCTCTCTCGCTCTGGCTGAGTGCGGCAGGCTCAGCTTGGATGGCCTCTTTAGCATAGTCCTTTTGTACCTCCTCCTTGTCATCGGTTTCCTTCTTCACTTGAGTGCACTGGGCCACATTGGCTGAGAGAGGGACCAGAGGCATGACCTTCCACTTCGGAGCTATGGGCCTCAACTTATTGGAGATCGTTGGCCTGATTTGCAGTACTTGGGAACCCACAGGCAAAGATGGCTTAGCTCCTTCTGAGAGCTGATAAGCTGCGTGGATGCTGGGATATGCACTCCAGCTGGGTGCTCCATTTTGAGCTTTATTGATGGCTGTTGTGACAGTGTTCTCCAAAGACTTCAAAATGTCCCCACCACCCTTTGAACCATCTTCTAAATCTTCTTCTCTGAGGTACTGGTATTTCATTGTGGGATCCAGTGGTTTCTGAAGAGCATCTTCATACTCTTCAGTTTTTACTGCTTTCTCATCTTTGTTTGTATCATCAGCTTTATCTTTTTTACTTTCTTTTTTTAGTTCAGAGCTGGGAGCTATGCATTCTGCAGACGATTTACTGGTTGATTTTGAAACCGGACTGTCACTGCCTGGTGCTTCAGACAGTGATTGCATTTTTTCCACAGCTAAAGGATCCAGAACAAGTTGTTTTCCTTTCTTTGAAGCTGAACTTGTGACTTTCAAGAAATGGCCAGTGACCATCATGTGGGTCGTGAGCTGCTGCAAGGTGTCATGGGAACTTCCACATTCCATACACTTCAAAATCTGGGATTTGCAGGCCTCAAACTGCCAGGTATAGCTGGCGCCATTCTGGTAGCCATAGCGGTTGTTAGATGATAACTGCAGGTTCGCATTCTTCTGAGGAGAAAAAGTATCTGAGAAAGACCCTGTTGTGGAATCGGGGGAACAAGGCCTGTTAACATCAAACACACGTTTCTTTGCTGGAGTGACCATTTTTGAAGAAATGGTTGGTACCGGCTCCTTCAAAGGCACTTTTTGGTAATGTTTTGTTTTTATCATATGAACACTCAGATCTTGAAGGGAATCAAAAGAGTCACCACAAAACATACATTTCAGAACTTTTTGTGCATCTTCCTTGTCCATGTCCTGGAAAGCCCTTTTTCGGGGCTTGGAGTAGCTGGTAGGTCTGTGCTTGTCCTTTTTATGGTTGTCGTCTTGGTAGTGACCTGTCTCGTTCATGTGAACCGTCAGTTCTACCAACGTGTCATAGGCAGCACTGCACTGCCGGCACCGGAACCGGCTGGCGCCCGTGAACACAGTCCCGCACATTTTGCTGCTCTGCCTGTAGAGCTGCACCGAGCTGAACAGGTTGGGTTTTGAGACAGGTCTGGAAGGTAAATTCTGCTGCAAGCTTTTTGACAGCGCGTCTTGGTGCCAATCAAAATCAGCTTTGTTCCCTCCATTTCTGTTGTCACAACTCCTCTTTTCCGAGTTAGACAACTTGAAACCCAGCCCTAAGCCTGTCCAATAAGAGTCTGACAGTATGTTGGCATAGACCGCTGTCATTTTATCCATGCAGTTGTGTGCTTCATTCTGGGCTTTGGGATGGGCACTGCTTTTTGGGTCCTGTGGCTCTCTAGAGCAAATGCTTTTAATGTCTGCCACATGGTCACTGCCATCGCTTAGTAGCGATTCATTTTCGGCATCCTGGTTAGATATATGACTGACAGGGGAATTCTGGTAACTAAAGTTCCCTTTCTGCTCAGGACCCACTTCATGTTCCTCATCCGTGCCAGTGTCGTTGCTGCCCTGGAGCTGAGCAGTTGAGTTGCTGTCATCATCATCTTCTTCCTCCTCCTTTATATCTTCCTCTTCCTTCAAATCTTCCTCTTGGACATAGCCTGAAATGTAATGTCAATATATGAAATAATTTGTTAAAGAAGGATACTACAGCTTGAGCTTTCTAGTTTCACTATGCATTTTCTCTACTGGACTTTGTTTTAATCTACAACTTTATTGGAAGTGAAAAAAGCCAAATTACGTCTCTTTTTGTGAATGCTGCTGCATTTTATTGGTAGATGATCATAATTCTTTATAACTGCCAGAGATTCTGAGTTAATAATTTTCCTGTCATGGGAGTATAATTCTAACTGTCCTGTAATGGGACAGTTGGAAAATTCATATGTAAGAATTTAAAGTTTATACTAAAATCTTCAATTCTAACAAATTGGTTTTAGCCTCAGTGAGATAAAGGCTGGAATTGGCAAGGAACAGAAGAAAAATAACTGCCATAATCTTCCTGGTTCATAGCATCATTTAGGTACAGTAACCTTTTGCCATTTGATCACCTAAAAATGCGTATTAGAACATACACAAATAATTTATATGTCAAAATACGACATCTGAAAGAGCTATAGCAATAAGTGGAACTCTTCTGTTTATAAAAGTAATGTACTGTGTACCATAAAAGCAAATTGTGCTTCAACAAAAACAAATGCATAAATTTCAGAGCCTTGGAAAGTTACAGAAGAGAATTAAGATGTGACACAGGTAGACCAAAGTGAACTGTAAAACTGGAAAAGCAGAACAAATCCAGAAAGATTTTCTTTGACAAATTAACTATTTAATTAATAAGATGAACTTGATACTGGAAGAGCTGTAAATTTTAAAATTAATTAAGGAAATCAGTTTTTCTTTTCCTGGCCTTATATCAGCAGTAATTCTGTCTAAGTTACAGGAGATAACCTGGTTAAAAACAGACTGAAGAATTAAAGAAGGGGATTTTTAAGGGTGAAGTGTGCCCATTGCAGTCAGTGGATAAATTCACAGTGATTCACACAGCCAGCAATTCACTCCCAGACCCCCACAAGAAGGGATGGCGCAGAACAAATGGTTCAGATATGTTATCACAAAAACCGAGTGTAATTTTTTTAACAGACACTGCAAAGCTGTTATGCACAATGCAAGCAGACTTTGAGTCAATTCACTGTTATTGACAGCCACTCATCAAAACTAAATGTTCATTTCAGAAGCACAGGTCTTCGTAGGAGATGTGTTGATGAGCTCTTCCAGTTAGGTGCAAACACAGTGCTGCCCACCCTAGTGATTGCACTGCAGTCTCAGGAGCACTTTGTTATGTTTCCTTAGGATAGAGTTTTTTGTGCTAGTATGTAAAAAAAATAAATACCAAAACCCCCAAATCAAAGCTGCCCTTAAAAATAAGTAAGCAAAAATAAAATAAAACTCTTGTACTTGTAATTGTGAAGTAACCCTAAAAGCTCAGAAAGCACAAGGTAAATGAGCCTAAAAGTGTGATTTGCTGAAAATCCAATTCCTTCTCATCTTCTGAGAAAAGCCATTTTATGGCTCTTTGAGAACCTGGCTCATTTTGCTCTCTTGAATTTGGTACTCCTCCCCAAATGATATCCTTTTAGCAAATCAAAAGGGATGCACAGAAAAGGTAGAAGCATTTCAATTAGCATGTGGACAAAGCTTTTCACATTTTTTTCAGATATGTGTTTAAATTTTTCAATCTGTTTGCATGTGTATCTCACCCCTTCCAACACATATCTACCATCAAGCCGAAGAGATGAACCAGAACTAGAGGAACTGTTTCCTGGATGAAGCTGCCGTATAAGAAGAGGCAAATGATGGCTCTCTCTGTGGATGGACTAAGAAACCCACGAGTCATCTTTCCTACTCCTTCCCACAGTCTTAGGACCGGCACAGATCACACTGGCTTAGAGCTGGGCTTGGCTTATGCCAGGGGTGATGCCAGGCAGCTTCACAACCAGAGGCAAAGATAACAGCAGTAGCTATGAGCGAACGACCTGGACACCATTTCAGCATGACAAAATAATAATCACATAGTAGTAGGAACACTGTGCTTCTCAGCAGATGCAAGGAAGCTAAACATTAAATATCAAGTGTTAAATATTAAAAAATACACCTTTTAGCAGCATGTTGGGGTACAGCAAATATTAGTAGCCTCATTTACTGATCAGACTGAGGCAGGCAGCAAAGACAACACTAACAACAAAATACTTTTTTCTCCTTAAACTTCTTCCCTAATAACCAGATAATACTTCTCGTGTACTCCTTTCTGAGCTCGTATGCTTTTCAGGGGGACAAGGAGAACGGAGGGACTCCTACACATCATGAGTAGTAACCTTGTTAAACGAGCAGCATGAACTGATGAGCCGGACTGACATGGTTCTGGCGGTGGTAGAGATACTGTACAGCGTAGGTAGCGACGCTGGCCCCTCGCCAGGGTGTATCCCCATGCCAAGCACGTTACACCCAGCAAAACAAAAATAAGGAGGGAATCCAATGAAGGAATCAGACAAAACAGACAACAAACAGCATTCACACCGTTTTGGGTCTTTGCAAATTTGATTCTCCATTTCAGCACCAATTCTTTGAATACTATTAACTCATTTTTCACCAGAAGGTAATTTTTTCCTTTGGAAGATACATACAGTAGTATCTTCCTTGCAATATCCTTTGTCCTTCTAAAAGGATTTACTAGGAGAAGCAGAAGTACCAGACAGCTGCACATCCCCCACAATACAGATAAAATTTTCTGCTTAATTAGGCATTGACATGTTTACTATAACCTTTACAGAAGAGTAACTCGTGCTGAGAAATCCTCTTTTTTTGTGCCTGTATAAGACACGGACATAATCTTATGAGTGTGGTAAAAGTAACTTATTAGAAAGCACCATCAAAATTTCACAAAACCGTAAGTCAGGTCCATTTTAATGGTTTAGGGTTCTCAGCAGCTTTGAAAATGCATTTCAGTATCCTACTTGTAAAACCATTTCTGTTTATTTAAATGATTTAAATTGCTGCAGGCATTTTAAGGACAGTGGAGACCTCTTCTGCGCAGACAACCTAGGGTGCAAGAAATGCACGTGTCCTTCCAACAGCGTTTTTTAGTAAGATTTCATTGGATATGAAGTTTGATGTGAACTGGTGTAGCTATTTAACAGAAATAACATTAATTTAAGTGGACTTTGCATTATTTATTTTATAAGTAAAGGGTGTCTTCAGCTTGTACACCCATGTGCTATAAATGCAATGTCTGTACTAAGTGGCATAAATTTTACACATCATACTGATGTCCATATAATAAATTGTTGAGTGACCTGTTCTCTCCCCACCAGTTCTCCCCTAGGCTTATTCTGGCATTCCAAGCCTCTGAGATGCTCATATATAGCTGTCTTACAGGAAAAAAAAAAAAAAAAAAAAAAAGAAAGAAATTCAAACTCAGTAATCAGAAGAATGCTTCCTCCTTTTCCCAGATGAGAATTTTCCCACTAAAATTAAACAGACTCAGGCAGAGATATAACATGGTCAATGTGCAGTTCTGAAGAAGCAGGGGACAGAAATTTCACTATCTTGAAGACTGGACAAAACCCAGGACCTTCAGAGCATTGAATGGAAGCAATTTATGGCTTCTTAAATGGAAATACAGTATTTGGTTTTAGTGCTGATCGATCTCGAGATAGCGTATTTCAAAATCATGACATCAGTAAGGATAATATTATCATATGGATAATAATAATAGACACAATTTTAAAAGGTTTTAACTTTTCAAAAATTTCCTTATGTCTTTGTGATTGGATTCATGGTAACTTAAGAAACCTGCTACTCAAGGACAGGGTGCAATAGACAGCTGATTCTTTATCTTCAAAAGTTGTCAGTTTCTTAGGTATGTCTAGCATATTTCTACAGAGTAACTAAAAGAACGCAGGTTCAGTTAATACACCTGCAAAAACTCTTCTTTGAACTTACGGGTCTAAAACCATCCACATCTACCTTGAAGCCTTGACCCTACCACGCAGACAGCACTGAGCCAAGCTCCCAGTGATGCTGAATCCAGTACTGACTTTCAGGCCCTCACACCCTTGACTAACCTGTATATAACCATGTTATACATCACTTCCGACCTTGCATTGTAGGTGTGTGAATACATCTTTTTTTCTAAAGTGTTCATTCTGACTGTGAACTTTTCCACCAGTGGATGCTATTTTCACTCAAATTTGCTCTTTTTCCACATAGGGAAACATTTCTTAAAATATAAATATACATGTTTCTTTCCAAGACTGGAAAATTTATTTTCTGCCAAGAAAAGGGACAGTGAATCATTGTCCAGAACAACACTGCTAATCCATGTAAAATCCATGCACCATCTGCACTTCTTCATATATATATTCCAGTTTTACTTGAAATAACATCATTAGTAGAGCAATCTCACAGTGCTATAAGGTGATCTTGTTTCCTTCTTGTCTGGCTTCAGCTCAAACATCTTTTTGTGTTTGGCAGAAGCTGTTTCTTTCTCTGAAATATTTCATGCAGATAATGGATAATGACCACTTCTCATTCCTTTTTCTCAAAAATGTCTAACCACATTAGCTACCCAAAGACAAATCTTAACCTGGCTCTTCATGGAAGTTCATAGCTATAGATTTATCCCAGTCTGAAAATCAGCTGAAGATATAAATTGGCAACGGAGGAAAAAAAAAAGCCTACTCTGTTGCATAACTCTTATATCAAAGACATTTTGGAATTTACCAGGACTAAAGCAATGCAGCACTCCGGAAATGCAATGGAGTTTCATGGAAAGAACTCTCAAAACATGAAACTCGTAATACAAGTGTGGATTATATAATTTTTAAACTATGTTAACAATTTCTGTACCAGGGAAATAACTTTCTGTTACATTCTGCAAGATGGAAAGAAAATGCAGGGAAAGGTTACCATTCTCACCACGGAGGGAGCAGAGAGTGCCTGGCTCTGAATCATGGATGTTGGATACAAAAGAGTATCTCTGTCATCTGGTCTAAACGTTCTGGTAGTGTGAGGTTTATTCATAAAGCCATGTGTTCTCAAAACCTCA